AGGATACATTAAGCCATGTTAAGCGTTTGTGTCAAACAGTCCGCGGCCACACCCCCGCGCTAGTGGTACAGCCCACAGCGCAAATTGTAAGATAAAAAAAAAATCGTTTAGATGTTATTTATTCAAATTATACTTTTTGTAGTCACAATTTAGCAAAAGTAAAATTGAAAAAAGGAGCGAAAACGGCAATTATTCATTTATGAAGTAACTGGAAAAAAATGAATGTTTGGTTTCATTTTTGCATTTGCACCATATGGTCTGAAAATTGAATTGTGAAGCGTTACACGGACCAGACGCCACACCAAGAATTGTACAAGTTCACCTCAATCATTTCTCCACCTTAGTCTGACTACACATGGCTTTATAGAGCTTGTGGAAAAAATTTCAACTTAGTTATGAGTTTGACTGAAGATGCTAAAACAGTCAACACATTTACCAAACTAAGAACTTGAAAAATTGTGATGGATAATCTTTGTATTTGACAATGAGGTTGTATTTACCTGATACTTTTGAACTGCAATGATACATTACATTGATGCTTATTCTTGCTCCACAAGTATGTAATTTCAGCAACTGATTCTGTCATTCTCTTACAACGCTTATTTATGACTCCTATTTATAGCACACCTAGAGAACAAAGTACTTAATACTTGTCATTCAGTTACAGTGTACAATATTTGACTTATTTTATTGCCTCTATCATCTTAATCACTCTTATAGCAGATAAAATGTTACACAATTTCAGTTGGTTTTTTCTTTGTCATCAGATGCTTGTGATTGCTGCCATTGAGCCCTGTGGCCTGATGCACTCTGATCCTCCACATCCCATCATACAAACACCTGCTTTCTCCAGTCTACACCCTGTTCAGTCCCCTAAAACCCCATCTCGGCCTTCTACCTCAGACATGAGTCCAAATTCCAGCGTTTCTTCTCCCTCAGTTGCATCTCTTATTCAGCCTGACTCTAGCTCTAATGCTGCTGATCATATTAGCCAACTCGATAATACATCAAGCAGTTCACCTCTAGTGCCTAAAATGCCTGAAACACCCACACCAAGATCCTTACAGATAACAAGAAGCCCAACCCAACTGCAGTCAGAAGCAGAACCAACAGCGTCCAGTCCTATTTCCACTGGTCCAGTGTCACCGTCAGTCTCCCCAAATAAGCACAATCAAGTTAATTTGGAACTGTTAGATCATGATTACCTATGCAAACCAAGAATGCTGAAGAGTGTTGTGAATTTTGACAAGATTTATCAATATCTAAGTGACATTGACTCCAAAACCTGCAATTCAGCTCTTACTTCAATGGGTACGCATTGTTAAATTATACATTTTGCATATAATATGCTGTTATGATGTTAAAGGGGTCATGGACTGACAAATCAAAATTCCCTTGATCTTTTGACATATAAGAGGTCATTGTACCATAAAAAAATCCTGTAAGTTTCAGAACTCAAAACTTTCTCGTTAGTCTAAAAACAGCTCATATTGAAGTCAATCTGCCAAAATGACAGGTTGTGGAATGTGCCACTTTATGACGTAATAGTGTGGCTAAACCCCGCCTCCGATTCATGCATGTAGTGTAAATAATGAGAGCGGTATACGCAGAAACCAAACGATAAAGATGCTCCAAAAACAACAAGATGCTGTGCAGTGCTAAGTTGTGGAAAAACAGTCTTTGCATTGCCTTCCTTCTGATCCCAACATTAGGAAAGAGTGGATGAACTTTATTTTTAATGTAGTTCCAGACCGTGTCAGTAAGAACTTTGTCTTTTATTCACTTCATTTTACAGTGGATTCATTTACAAACAAGGCACCATTCAATGCAGGATTTTCAGAAAGATTGAAAGTAAAAGACGATGCTGGAAAATCACAGCAGCATCCATCAATGAAGGATGTAGGCTGTCAAACATACACAGCTGTTAGCCAATCATAGCAGTGGGCGTTTACTTCTGAGTCTACGATCCACCATGCCTATTCAAACAGAGCGTTCCGATGAGGGGGGGTCAAATCAGGAGAGAAAATAGTCTCTTACTTCTCAATTATGATGTTTTTTGATGTAAAAATTATGATAACATTATAAGTGGACCTCAGAGAACAGTACAAAATAATAAAAAAGGCAGTTCATGACCCTTTTAATTCAGTTGGGTATTAGCAGAAATGCTGAAAAAAAAAAGATCTATAGCAGTTGGCGTTTACTTCTGAGTCTACAATCCACCACGCCTATTCAAATGGAGCGTTCAGGACAGAAAATAGCCTATTTTCTCAATTATTATGTTTTTTGATGTAAATTTTTTTTTATAACATTATAAGTGGACCTCAGAGAACAGTGCAAAATAATAAAAAGGCAGTTCATGACCCCTTTAAATACTGGAATAAATTACATTCTTCATGACCATTTTACAAATTTTTCCAGGAATGTGGAAATTAGATCAACTTAAAAGCATAGTACACCCAAAAATGACAATCTACTTGCTTACCATCTTGTTGCATGACGTTCTTTCTTCTGTAGAACACAAGGATGTTGTCTTTAAAAATATTATTTTTTTTTTGTCCTTACAATGAAAGTCAGTGAGGATCAGTGTTGTTTTGGACCCCACTGACTTTCACTTTATCTACAAAAACATTTTGGGTGAACTATCCTTTTTAGATGTATGAACAGAACAGAACTTTTTTTTCTTTTCTCATATTTTGCATATTCCATCCTCAGAGAGTGCAGTGCTGTTGGATATGCTCATGTGTTTGCCTGAGGAGCTCTCCTTACTGGACTGCAAGGAACTTCAACATCATTTTCTCCCGTTACACTCACAGCTCACCAAACCTGCAGTAATGCCAGCTTCCTCTTCAAACAGTGACAGGGACGTCCTACAGGCTAATGTAGCCGATTCTACTGCATTAACACCCAAACTCAGGCCTTCTACGGGATCCACTAAAGAGCCCTCCACTGAGTCTTCTGTCACAGAACCAGCAAAGGACAAAAAAGACTGGGCTACAGTTGGCACCTGTCCTCTCAATCCTTTGTTAGTTCCGGTAGCCTTGCTGAAAAGATCGGCCCTAGATTCTGAGAAATTATATGCTTAGCCAGTCTCAGGCTTTTCAGAATTCAACTAATTAACGTTCTGTGTGGGTCTTATGTTTCACTTTGCTAGAGGTTCAGATGTTGTTCTTTTGCCTGGAAAATGTGTGCATATTAAGTATTCATACTGTTATATTGATATGTAATAAATATATTTAAATTTCAGAATGATGATTGTTAAAATAAGTTTGCTGTAAAAAATAACCAAGACATAAAAAATAAATGAATGTGCTGAAGAATTAATCACAAGTATTATAAGATTTCCCTCTTCCTAAACTGAACTGCAGCTGTACTGATGCCCTTAAAGTGATGGCTCTCAAAAATCACCCTCCTAAGTTTAATATTTCCCTGTGGCTTCCACTACTGTTGTCAAGTCATAAAAATAAGAATATATTAAAAACCAGAGAGGAATGGAATTTTGTGGTGCAACTGAGAATTTTGTTTTCTCAAGTGAACTGCATTTTAGTTCAAAGTTTGGAGTTTAGTCTGATTAACAAAACCTGGTTGCCAAGTGACCAAAACAGTGGAACATATTCCTGGTTTAGTAAATATTTCCTTTTAGCATAACTTTTAAGATGCAGTAATATATTTTTTTAAAGAAAAAATGTTTACTCACCCTCATTCTGTCCCAGATGAGAATATTCATTTCTTTTGAGTGGAATATTTAATATTTTCCTTTTTTTATTAGGTTAGTTTCATAAATCAGTTTTGATAACTTTTTGTCATGAGGGCCTTGCCAGGGATGGTGCTTGCCAAGTTTCATGCAAATAGAACCAACAGCCCAGGAGGAGTTAGAAAAGGTAGGTTTTCCATAAAAATTCTAAATAGTGGAAGAATGTCCTGAATTAAACTAAATCGGATGTATGGATTCTCGTAGAGCTTGGCTCAAGGATTCAGAAGCACTTACAGTTCCAGAATGATGAACCAAAATTCAAATGTACTTATAGCGCAACCTAATGTCTGTCGGTTGTGTAAAGCGGTACCTGAGTAGAATTACATTGCCTTTATTGTCATCTCGTGTGGGGGGATTTGGAGCCATCACACCAAGATCTCTGAGAATTATGGTCTTTGGTGCTTTTTGGTTGAGAAAAAATATTATAAACGAAACGGTACACAAACAGAAGGGTTTACCCCTAGTAAAGCATAACCTTTAGAGTGAGTAATATGTTTACACAATGACCCATGAGTCTCATTGCACCACAGAGATCTAGGTACATCAAGTTAAGTGATGCTACCATTTGTAACATTTCTCAATACTGATTGCAGCGCAGCTGATTATCAGTTTCTTTTTCCTGCTTATCTGTTCGATGTGTGGCGTCGCACCCAACATGATCTGTATAACTCACCATCCAGCACATTGTTTGACATGCTGCTGATAAGAAGATATCTGAGATAAAGCAGCTCACTTTGTGAAACACTAGGCTAAAATACACACACACACACACACACACACACAACTTTTTGGAAAGTTGAAATCACAATTTGAAAGCAATTATCTTAAAATAAGACTAGCATTTTTAAAATGTTGAGGATAATATTCAGTATTGCCAAAGTGATTAAATCTCTAAAAAAAATGTAACAATGTAATCTGAAGGGAATAAATTGAGGGGTAGAATATACAGTAAGGAAGCCCCATTAACTGTGCTTTTGTTGTGTCTGTGAATAGGAAAACATTAAAAAGTACTGAAAAGAAGAGGCATGAAAGTAATTGGGAATGCTGTTTTGTGAAGATTCTATGCCCCTCTTTGCAAGCTCATGATATTTGGTGTTTTCTTATAGAGCAATACACAATAGCTCAAGAATATTACTTTGTTGTTCATGTATTTGATTGCATTTACAGAGGAAAAAGACAATAAAACAAACAACTGAGAATATAATTTATTTTAACATAAGCAAGTGTCAATTTACAAACAATGTGTGGAGTATAATGATAATAAATAATTTGTGGTTAATATGTAATTTACAAAGCAGTTTATATTAATGCAATGTCATTATGAATAAAAATGATAAGAAATAATACCTAAAGGAGCAATAAAGTAAAACCTATAAAAAAAGATAACTACTAGTTATCTAATTTTACTACATTGATTATTTTAATAACTTATCTGAAGATAAGCAGGGCATAGCTGAAGTTCTACTGCTTCTCTTCATCATGTGATAAAACACAATATGGTCAAATGATGTTTGTCACACATCTGAGGTACAGAAAATATGCATTATTGTACAACTGCTAAATTGAATGGTATAAACAGAATGCTCTAGCAACTGATTGAGTTTTGATGGATCAAGACTGCATATTTTTAAACCAAGCAATATATACATTCAGTATGTCATACAAAGCTGTAATGCTTGTGTTTCCACACACATAGAATATTAAATATCAAAAGATGAACGGATCTGAGGTCTGTCCATTTTCATCTGTTAAGAGCAAAACAAGGAATGAGGAATTATGGAAAATCCATGACGGTGATGCTGTTACAATGCTTGTATTCCATTGAATTCAACAGAAAAATCATTGGTTATTTGTAACGAGTACCTTCTATGGAAATATGTAATTGTGTAAAGGTCAGAAATTAAAATGTGTCTTTTCTTTATTAACCAGATAAGATAAATAAGTAAATTAAGAAAGATAATTATAGTGCAGCCCTGTTGCTGGGTGTAGTAGCTTAGTTTTGTATACTGACTATTTGTAAGAACAGCATATGTTGCTAAGTGTATATTTGTGTATCCTCTCAGTACTCACAGACTGATCCCTCTGAAGATACCGGAGATGAATACCAGGTTCAGGTGAGAAATTCTGGGTGTAAGAGAAATCTGGTTTATAGTTTCCGAAACTGTCCTGTGTATGTCTGCCTCCTGGTGAGTATACTGGGTTATCATATCTGTCAACTGGAAATACAAAACAAAAAAGTATGTTGATTAATCAGAGACTTGTTAACCTATAAAATGAATATCCCATGAAGAAAAAAAAAGACTACAATGCTCTTAGGCTACGTTCACACTGTCGATTTTTGGGATTGACACCCACATTTTCTTTACAGGCGTGAGTCTCGAAATGTCCCGTTCACACAGCAGCTTACAGTTGTGTTTAGAATACTGCCTGTATGAACGTGCATTACCAGTAACCATAGCGACAGTGACCAAAGTAAAATCAAAGATGGCGACGTCCATAAAACTGAAAGTCGTATCACTTCCTGACAGGACAAGAGTCCAATCGAGCCGCGAGTTATTTAGTCAAATCTTCATTAACCAACAGCAGCGTTTAAATGTTGGTGGAGAGCGGAGCATTTGAACACAAAACTGACGGGAGCGGCTCCGGTGGAAAACTGACGGGATCTGAAACGTTCAGATGACACGCAGCTCATTTCTCCATCACTGTAAGTTACCGAAAACACACATGAAAACACGTAACGCACGGTAGATGAGCATTTGTGCGCTCTCTCGTCTCGCACTGTATGGTGTACGGTTCCGTTCACACAGCGCGCGTGTTCCGAGAATGCGGTTGTGAGTCCTGAATATTTACAGGTGTGAGTTCGGTTACAGAATGCGGTTGTCACACCCGTAAATAACCGAACTGTGTGTGAACGTAACCGTATTAAGGACTCACAGGACTGACAATCGTATTCTGCTGCTGTGTGAACGTGGCCATAATATACATTTGTTGCAGCTTGCTTAGTCTAGGCTTAATCAAACTCGCCAAGCAACTCCTGAGTATGCTTAGATCCTAAATATGCACTGTGCATCTTTACTTGTGAAATTAACAGCACTTCACACACAGGCTGTCAGGTCAAATATAGTTTTACTGCCCCATCCTTCTCTCTAAGTTTATATTACATCACAACAGGTTCACAAAATATGTAATTTAACTTTTTTTTTCATTTTGGAATAATATACTGCATCCATGATTTATTCAGGTTAATACCAAGTATTTATCTACCTAATTTACTGAGAACAGTATTGTTAATTTTAGAAAACTGTGCACAAAAGAAATAATAATTTGGTGAATGGTTCAAATATTCAGGTACCACCTACAGGTAATAATTATTGAATGATGCAGAAAATGTATAGTTTTGTTTTGTTTTTTGCTACCTGTGTTTGATGTTTTCTTTTGTGGTGGCCATTCAAAGTCATCCTCTAACCATTCTTTCACTAGCTCTTGCTTAATGTCCTTGTTCCTGTGAGACAGAAATAAAGTTATGGACAGGAAGGCATAAAAACACATTTATTCATGAAAACACCCTCTTTTTTTCCCTGATACACATACCACATTGATATAGCCATGTAAATAAGAGATTTTTCACAGATTTTTAGGGGGGCTGTTTTGAATTGCATAGGATGGTAGCCTTCATATACTGTATTTCAGGAGTACAGTTAAATAATCAAATAATATTAGAAATGTGTCAAATTAACAGTAAACTGCTCCAGGCAGCCTGCTTTTCTGGTCTTGAGAGTGGCTAATCAATTGTTATTTCAGAGCATTTGCTGAACAAATCTACTGTTAGGTTTGTCTGCAAATCCATCAGAACATAATGATCTTGCCATGATCTTGTGTTCACAGGGCCCGAACAGCTTGCTATCATCAACGGAAACATGAATTTTTACAATTTTACATGCATTCTGCAGGCCATCTGTCTGCTAACTGATGATCAACAGATGACAGGTGATGCCACAGGTCAACGATCCAAAGCACAGGAGTAAATTATTTAGCAGTAGAAAACATGCCTGCTGAAGTGTCCCAATCAAAGTCCTGACCTTAACATGATTGCATTGCCTTGGCATGACCTCAAGACCACATGACACCAGACATCACAAGTACATTGCTGAACTGAAGCAGTTTAATAAAGTGCATGAAATTACTTACCTCTTCACCGTCCGTTTGTTTATAATGAGATAAGCTGTCAGGAATGCTACAGTTATTACTGCTATGGCTGCCACTGTTCCCAATCCAGCATAAAATCCAACTTTGTGCACCTGTAAATTGCAATCCGCTCCCAAGTACCAGAAGTCATCATTATAGCGGCAACTAGAGCAAAAATGCATTGTAAGTCCTTTTAAATGTTCAGAGAAACATCTGCATATTTTTGTGCAACTTTTGCTTTTGTTTCATTTAAATCATTCCAGTTTCCAGCCCAGATCTTTAACCACCACACCCCCTAAAGAAAGAAGTACCTCTCTTTGTCAGTCTAGAAAATGTAAAGAATATAAAAGTAAAACAAAAGTACATACTAGCAGGATGGGCCCTGACCAGAAACTTCACAGGTGCCGCTGTTCTTACAAATTTTCGGATCACTATGAGCTGCATTGCATGGAGTCACACATGTCACTTTGCCACCCAGCGTAACTGCTTCAAAATACTTTTGGAAATCTTCAGGAAAAATGTCTGTAGCCTTGGCACACACCTCTTTGACTGTGGAAATAAAAAAATGCAGCAGTCATAATAGATAAAATAAAAATGAATAAATTACAGCATTCAGACACTTCAAAAATTCCTTGATTTGAATAAAAATCTTATGTTAATTTGGCTTTGTGCTTGGGACCATTCAACTGTTGAAACTTCTTCTCTAAGATTTCCCTGTATTTTTCCATATTTTGGTCTCACTGCACAACAGCATCACTTTTCTGCATTTTGTATGTACTCCAAACATGCTTTCTTACGAATCTACTGTATTTATAGCAAAACTCCCTCCAATGACCTATGCATTTTTTTAGCTTCTTTTGTTGATCTCTGTATCTCCTCTTAGAACTATGGTTGAAAACTTATGCAGCATGTTTAAATATACATTCAATATACATCAAACATTAAAACTCATTTCAGTTATTTCAATAGTTCACTCAGTACTTAAAAAGTAAGAACATATTTGGTATAGAGTATATAATTCAATAAAATGAGACAACTAATTAATATTATATAGAATAACTCACTATTCTTCTTGCTCCTAGCATGTTAAGTTAAATGAAAACTCACCAATGAAATCAGTCTTTGATGCAATGGCATTATTAACAACAAAGACTAGAATTGAAAAAAAAAAATTAACAAACAGATTAATAATATATCCAATAACAATTTAGATCACAGGGAAAATGCATATGATGACCTACCTGAAGTGTTTTTAATATCAAAAAGAACTTTGTTCACTTCCTCAACAATATTTTCATAATTCTCCTCGTTTTCGTTGTTATTATCGATGTTAACAAGGACATCATGCTCAACTTTCAGACTAGCCGCATCACTTCAAAAAAAAAAAAAAGGAAAGGAAATACAAAAATTACAAGTTTTAAAGAATTTTTTAATTGGTGTATTTTTTTGTGTTTATTTATAAATGTAGGTTATCTTGGATTGGGTATAATACAAGGTTTGGATTGATTTATTATTTGAAAGTATTTGTTACTGTATACATGTTTGGTTCATTACATTTTGTACTGTTACCTTTTAGTTTCCTTCAAAGGCAAGCTTCTTCTTCTTCTTTGACTATGTTGTTGTAATGGTCCACCAGCACTTTGACATGAAAAAAAAAGAGATTGAATTAAGACTTAATAGTCAGATATTATAAGGGAATATTTGATATTTGTAATTACAAAATAGCTTGTACTGTCAAAGTAGATTAATTACCTTAGAATTATGTTGTCCACACGCAAAAAATTTTCTATTTTTTCTTTATAAAAGGGCACCACCTATAATTGTATAAAATATATCTGTAATATTTCAAGGCAAAAAATTATGACCTCCACTGTCCAAAATACTGTTTGTGAAGGAGGTCTAGAACACTTAGGTCACTCTTAAAAATATTGCATAAGTAACAACTTATCATACACAGAGGCATCTGCAAACAAGTGATTAAAAGTTAGAGCTTTTTTCAGAATTAACGTAACTAACTTCACTTAAATTACTGCACTTTTAATCAACTGGTCATTTTTAGTAAATGTATGCAAATGCCATTTTTTAGTAAATGTATGCAGACACATCACCTCCTAAAGTTTCTGGGCAATAACATTTAAGTGATCAAGCCATCTAAACAACAATTACTTACTGTTGTTTTGAATTTTTCAACAAATTCTATATATGCATCTGATGATGGGATTTCGTAGTCATCTGTAAATTTTTCATTTATTTCCATTGTAACATTGACTGTCCTTTCAATGATATCTAAAACAAAAATAGAGGAAATTTTAAGACAAATAAGTATATAACTTTCAGAAATTTTTTTAAGAAAAGTACAAGGAAGTGTAAAACTAATTAAAACTAGAAAGGGCATCTGCCCATCTCATGTAGTCTAGTTGATGTGTTTTCTAACTAGGTTTCTGTTGCATTTACAAAACTTGGATTTATGCCATTATTTAACCACACATGCAGATTTTAAGACATTTTAATGCACTAAATTTTAATTAATGAGACAAATATCACTGGAAAAACAACTGCAGTAACTTTAATTGTGGTGAATGTATTCCGAAGGACAAGACTAAAAATGATATTGTAGCAGAATTAATCCAGAGAAATTGGCATGTCAAGCCCACTCACTTTTGTGATGTGGAAATGCAGACAAGTTAATCATTAAATATATCTATATATTTTTCATTATTACCAAAACTTATTTGATAGACAGACCTGGTACAATTTGAGTTTCAACAGTACTGCAGAGTCTCCCCGTAAAACCTTTCGGACAGAAACAAGCCTGGTTGTTTGGTTGTGGAGTTCCACCATTTTCACACTCAATAGGTTTGGCAGTTGTGGTTTTGGTCGTTGACTGAGTAGAGCTTGTTGTTGGTGTTATAACATCTTTTGTAGTTGTGAAATCAGCTGTACTTGAGGCAGGATTTGGTGTAGATGCACTGTCTTCTGTCACAAGAGTGGTGTGAGCTGTAGTTGCTTCAGGATCTGTTGAAGTTACAGCAGAAATCTCTGTTGTACTATCATCTGGAGTTATAGTTGTTTCTGCTGTATTTGACGGTTCTTCTGTTCCTGTGACATCAACAGTTGTTGAAATATCTGATGAATCAGTGGTGTCAGCTGTAGTTGCATCAGGATCTGCTGAAGTAAAAGCAGAAATCTCTGTTGTACTATCATCTGGACTGCGGGAACACTTTCTTAACAAACCAGTTATGAAACATGACTTGCTGAAAAGCATGATGTCAGCCTGCTCCTCCAACCGCCACTTACATGCTGCTTGTTCTGTGTGAAACAGGCCTAATGACTAAATTAACTGTAATATCTGTCTTAAATATGAAGTAATATATGGTAAAAATATCTGTTGTGTGAACTGTTCTAGGTTATACCAGGGGCCGGTTGCACCAGCTAGATGTAAAAAAGCTGGGTATAAGCCCTACACTGGGCTCTGCAACATCCAGATTTACGACAAATATTTACATCTGTTGCACCAACTAAAACTACGATCAGGCACAACTACGCCCGGCGTAGACAATGCGCGTCCACGCTGACACATTCTCCCGCAGTGATGGCTGAGACGACATTCACACTGCAATGGCTACAACTACTAATATAAAACTGAATTGCTCAAGACATCATAACAAGTGAAGTCACCGCGCCATGATTTTATTGAATAAACATTTTCTAACAAGTCTCCCTGCACATTCCCATGACAGATTTCTTCAAACGAACATTAAAAATGAAGGCAGCAGGTTAAGTAAAATATAATGAATGTAATACAATGCTTCTCTCTAGAGTTATTTTTTCTAGCTGACTATCGAGTTTATGTACAATGAATGTCTTTCCTGAGGTAAATGTGACTTTACGTGACATTGTTTTACTGACGTCTTTCTGTGGCTGAAAAACCACATTTATAGTGATAAAACTGACAGATTTTGAAAGCTGATACTTTATTTCTAATTAAAAGTAACAAAGCACAAAACTTACTGCGATTATTGGATGGCAGGCAAGGCACACTACAAATAATGAATGGAATTAAAGACGTGAAATATTTCCAAGCATTTATACCGTCCTTCCAAGCAAGATGTCGAATGGTACAGTTTCTTTAAATAATCCTAGATTATATGTAATATTTTACTGCATAATTACATGCTGTAAAGAATAGTTTTTATTAGGTCAATTACTGTCGGCAGTGTAGTATAGTCTACACAGAGCTTCGCGATTGATATCGCTTAACCTGCCCGATTATAATTTGGGTGCAAAACATGTTTTTTATTTCCTTAACACTTATATCAGTATACTACTGTATAACATTAAACAGAATATTCCTTGAATCATACATCAACAGGAGAAAACAAATCAGTTTTATACTCATTCATTTATCAAAACAATGTAATATAAACAGATTGAACCGTGCTCCCACATAGTAATCAAACTGACCCCTGTACACTGTTGACCCCTTAAGCACGGGAGCAATGGGAATTTTATTCTTACATGTAAATGTTAGAAATTCACTCGTGTACTTCCATTTAGCAAAAGTGCTCAACAAGTCACTGTGGGTTTAAGACACTATGTCAAGTTTTAAAGGGGTCATATGATGCGATTTCAATTTTTCCTTTCTCTTTGGAGTGTTACAAGCTTTTGGTGCATAAATAAGATCTGTAAAGTTGCAAAGACTAAAGTCTCAAATCCAAAGAGATATTCTTTATAAAAGTTAAGAGTCAACCACGCCTACCTAAAACGGCTCGTTCTAACACGCCCCCACATGTCTACATCACTATGTGGGAAGATTTGCATAACGCCGCGCAAATGTTCACGCAAAGAAAGAAGGCGTAACTTTTATTCTCGCTGTAGTATTGTTGTTGCCGCCGCCGCCATGTCGTGAAGGAACTGTGTGATTAGTTGTGAAAGCGAAACTACTTTGTTTGGCCTTCCAAAAGAGGATGGTATCTGCTTCGTCATGCCTGGAGCTGATCCGTGCTGGTTGCTGAGGAAAATACTACAACTTTGCGCTGTGAATCACCGGATCGGCTTTCACCGTGGACGAAGTGGAGTCCAGCCCGGGGTCGTCACATGTGGTTGCCGCAAGCCCACCGGCCGCTCCTTCGTCGAATCCACCGGCCGCCGCTCACTCTAGGCCGGCCTCCGCTCAATCTGGGCCGCCGTCCTGAAAGCGAAACTACTTTGTTTGGCCTTCCAAAAGAGGACACGACTAGAAATCAGTGGTTAAGTTGTATTTACAACACTGTTCCAGAACA